AGTTGTGGCAAGTGCAGAGCAAGTATTCAAGTGTTATGTGTCATCAGGTAACCATAACAAAATCTCCAATACGAAGAAGCTGAAAGAAAAAATGTTACAAGAAGTCAGCTACAAGTTTGCTGAAAACGGTATAAAACAGGAAAGCCATGGATATTGCTTGAGTGAAACACTGTTTGACAACCACAGTGTATGGCTTGTTAAATGCATTGCAGATCAATTTTCAGATTGAGATTGTTCACCTATGCAAAAAGGTACAATGAAAATGTTGTGAGAGCAGGAAAACCAAGTAAAAGGCACCAACTGAACAAATATACTTTGTTTCGAAACGAATGATTTAGTTTAATTAATAACTAATCGATCTTCAAATAATGTATTTATAAATATAGCCATGCAATATGTTTTTTATTGCATTTTTTGATACAAAGTTTTTAAAATTGAATACATACAATTTGTTACAACCTTACCTGGCAATGTTATTCTTTCTAGAGAGGTAACTTATGCCGTATATTTGTTGTGTTTACAAAATTGACCGAGTTCCACTCCTACACGTTGCCGCCATATTGAATTTTAACCGTTCGTGCGCGGAGGTCTGGTTCGGTACCCAAGCAGCCTTCATGATCCGCCATGTTTGGCTTCACTTTTAGGTTACGCAATGTACTAGAGCGAGCCTTCCATATATATAGAGTTGACTGTTACAACATGCATGTAGGTTTTTTATTGCATGCCAAAATATAAAGAGTACCCTAGCTGGCCTAATTATTACTCCTTTTTCATATAATTATTATACTGATTAGGGAAAGCATGACATTAATATAGGATGTGATAAATTAATCCGACTCCCATGTCGGGTGCGTAGGAGGTTACTGGCATGTTTGTGCATGTATACTCACGAAGCTCTTGTTCTTTTTAGCCCACCAGAGGCCGTGGAAGCATGTCAAAAGTGGGGGGGCACTGACGAAAAGGGGCAAGATGTATACTTGATCGCATGTCACGCACATAGGCGATCATTAGACTATATATATATATATATATATATATATATATATATATATATATATATATATATATATATATATCAAAATTTAGAAAGGTTGTTATATATATATATATATATATATATATATATATATATATATATATATATATATCGTGTCAGAAAAAGGGCACTTAATTTTACTTCTAAAAAAGGGCACATTCTCCCCTTGCACGAAAAGTGGGGGGGCATCTGCCCCCAATGCCCCCCTGGTTCCGCGGCCTCTGTAGCCCACTCAAATAAACTAAGTAAGTTCTCATTTCACTGTTTGGAAACTTGCCGTTTTAGATCTTTTGAATGCGGTTTTTTCACTTCGAAAGCCAGGCAACTCAGTCGCATGCATGTGCTACTGGCCAAGTCTATAATTATGCTAAAATAGCCCCATGATGACAGATATTTGTTTAGTCCCAATAAAATGGAATTAGAGGCATTCCTGAATTGAAATATCGTCGGTGGAGAGCCGGTTAAAGTCGTCACTCCTATTGGTTTTATTCGCGCATGCAATATAAAGCTAAATAAAAGGAACGAAAAAAAAACGCTTGCTCCACTTATGGGTGGCGCATTTATAAACAATTACTTTCAGGAAGCGTCAGCCGCTGCCATAGTTTTACATGTTAACCTAAACCAACATTTGGTGAGTTTAGTAGCAGCTCTATAGCTGTTAATCCCGTAGCCGAATAGTGCAGACCATAATTATTGGTAAAAAATTACTTGAAACATACCTTTACATTGGAATTGGTGGGTAACAAAAAGTGAACCCATGATCATAAGAAGAAACCTGTGCATGAAAGCTAATCTTGAACGACGTTAAAGAGGTCGGCGGAATTACTGGAACTGGTAGTTTTATCCAATCGACGGAAAAGTACGAATATAGTTTTGTGATTTATTGCAATCACGTCTTAACCAATACCATAGATCAACAAAGCAATGTAACTGAATGGACAACGTAAGGCGGCACACAATAAGAATACTAATAATAATGGTCAGGTATTTCGGAGATGTCAATATTCTGGCTAATATATACTATTGTCATGCAGCAAAGCGGCAATATATCTGATCGGTCCCACAGTCGAATTGCATTAAGTCTGGCTCACGCCTACGGTAAAATTGATGCATGCTTACGGTTAACTTAAATTTATCTGGAAATCAAGAACTGATTTCCGAAATGTTAGTAATAGTCGATCATTTTATTATCCCCCATATAAAGAGTTTAAAGCCCCGTTTACACTGCACACAATTTATCATCACGGCTAAATTTGGTACTCGTGCATGCCCATTTCATCCGTGCATGGCCTTCGTACTAGTAGTCTGTGTGAAATAATTTACAACATGCATGTGAAATTTCACCTTCACATGTGAAAAGCAAATTTCGTGCGGGAAATTTCTTTCACAAGTGAAATTGTAAAAAATCCATTTGGAACATGCATGCATGATGTAAACTTGCTGTCTTTACACATTTTGAATGCATGTGTTTAAAGAGTTTCACTATATAATTTATTTAACATATTTTATATGTTTGCATTCAAAATTATGACTAAACATGTTCCAGTACTTCATTCATGAAACATTTATATATTTGACAATGAAGGACCTGTGTGAAGGTAAAAGATGAAACAGATGAATAGTATTGCCAATTGTTTGAACACTTACATACTTAATCCTCAGGTACTGTAAAGTACATTATTATAAACACTTGCCTATATAGGTTTTTACCTGTAATATATTGTATAAAATTTTGTGATAGCGTTATAGGTGTTTTTGCATACGGTATATTGTTTAACACAATAGAAAAAAGACTAAAAAGTGGACATTCCTGGATACTGACATGGTGTGCTAACATAGTCTGCTATGCATGATCTCACATGATTTCTCAGGAAAGTAGTTTCACTGGGTTAGGGAAAACAATGACCTTTTATTAGCCGCAGAACACACACTTTTTATCAGTACCAACTTAAAAAGACATTTTTTAACATGTATTACCTTTTCCTGCATAAATCTTGATTTTTGAAGGAAAAAATATCAGATGGCAAATTATATGTTCTTGGGTAAGCTATATTTGTTATTTGAATATGGAAAACGTATAATTATTATGTATAAGCAATACTTCAGTTCCATAATCTGCAATAGGCAATAGGCAGTTTTGTATGTACTATGTATTATGTTAGTATGTACAATGTATTATGTTATATATATTTAAACTATAATAAATTAAGGTGCATGTTCGACTTAAGCGGCATTCTGTGCATTTCTTGTCATGAGTCAAGGCAAGTTTGGTGTGTGTTTAATCAAGAGAGATGATCCTGTATATCCAAACAGTGATTCGCTAATAATTTAGCTTGTTTCTCTAGTTAAATATGATTAACTTGTAAATGATTGGGAATTGTTTCTCTAGTTAAATATGATTAACTTGTTAAAAGTTCGTGCCGGACAATCTTTTTTATGTATTTAAGTAGCTATATGTTAAGGTGCATGGTGATTAAAAAATTAGCATCTCGTAGTTTTAGCGAGAAGCCTCTGTTTCATTTCTAAAAAGATTAGTATTTGCACCCCTTTAATTGGCAGTACATTTTTATTTTGTGCAGTAGATGCAATATCCTCTCGTCTGAAACAATTGACATATATTTCCAACAGTGAATAATTGTCATTGCTGTTACTGCTGAATGACCGACCTCCCAGTCTTCTAATAAAACTCCTATTTATTCTATTTTGAAATGGTTTAAGGTTATCAAGGTTTTCACCTTGATTACTTAAAGTGTGTAATCTACTCCTCTTTTCGATTTACTGTTTTTCTATAATTTATGCTGGAGACATGTAGTATACAGTCGCCTTTCACAAGAAAACACACTTCATGCTCTATCAAGGAAACTAAATAATGTTGATCGAAACCATGCATGTTAACGAATGAATGAAATTGAATTAAATATATATAATGCATTGCAATTATGTGGCAACGAAAGATCGTTAGGTGGAAGAGCAAACAAAGGGGATTGACAGGTAATTTAAAAAAGAAATGGACAAAGCACACTTATCATGCAGGGTATATATATTGCAAGAATTTATACAATGATGTATCTTTTGCAAGTAACATAGTTTCGTATATCATTTACACTTATTGTAGTTTTCTTCTTGTGACTATACTGTTTATATACTAGTATAAGCTAATTAATGGCCTACCATGCATGTATCGTACGTTTTTATCGGCTGAGCTACGAGTGGAGAATTGCCACCTCCCTAATGAATAAAGTTATCACTCCAGCGTTAGAGATCACGAGTAAGTCCGTCTAAGGAATAGGAATCAGCATTCGTGTTTGATTAGAAACACGTTGCAAAACAGCTTTTGTATTAATTCAGATAGAGGTAGGTAAACAGGTCACATTTTGAATCGCTCTACCGATCAGTGGCCAAAACAAAAAGTTTTCATCAAACGTCATTGTAGTTGTACTGGTCTTACGCCTGTATTCAAAAAGCTCACTCACACTCATACTCATCGAGTGTGACATATAAATTTCGTTAATGCTGATCAATGAGAAAGTTTTTTCTGAATAGATGGAAAGATATAAGGTAAATCACTGAAAATCAAGCCCCTGTTCGGCTGGAAATACCACCATTGAAACGTTATGAGAAGATTAAGATCTCCCACTCAATGAGTCTGAGTGTGAGTGAGCTTTTAGAACACAGGCGTTAATGTCTACCGTGCAACCAATGATTGATAGTTGCTCTGTGCATCTCTTACAGTTTTCAACTCTGCATACTCTGAATCACTCTCGTCTGCTTCTTTCCATGCCCTTAATTCAGTGTAAGTTGGATCATCTTCGTTTGCTGCTTCTTCCTCTTCTGCCACGCGATTTTCTTCTGCATTAACATCCCTGGGAACTATATCTTCTTGTGTAGTTGTATCTATATCGGTTGTGTATTGTTGGGACCTAATTCTCTTTAAACAGCGGCAACAACATATAACGCCACATGTAAGGAAAAACCAAATGACTGCGAACACCACTGATATTATTACGATGAGCCAAACTGTGCTTAGACCACCTATAATGTGTTTCAATATCATGGATTTGTGGATCCATCGCGAAGAAATGAACAGATAAATGATAAAATCGTGCCGTATTGTTTCTCATCATCAGAAATTATCAATAAAATGGTACTTTATATAGCAATTAAATTCTGAATTACAACGAATCAGACAACTGTATTAATTTTGTTCAAATTGCAGTTGCTTAAATAGAAATTATATTGGATTTTTTTATATCAACTGTAGATAAAATTTGCCAACGATGAACATTCAACTTCGCAACAACCATCGTTCAAACTGAGATTTTGATTTGAAAACATTAGGCTCATAATTCTCTAACTCACCTAGTCCCAAAATTGTCCCACTATGCAACTTTCAAGTTATTATAATTATTCATTTATTTAGAAATTTATTGTTTTATTACTAGCATAGCGGGACAAATCGTTGGGCTGGATATGCTATACTGTTCACCGTCCTATCTTAACGATATAAATTATATGTCCTGAAGTAGAACTAATATTTTTAAACAAAGGAAACAAGCATATGAACTTATAATTTTATATAATGAAACATTATTTAACAGTGTATAAGCAGAAGCAATAACAAAATAATTACCTGTATGACTACTCTTTGAAGTGCAAGTGCTACATGATGGTACTACTGTTGGAGGTTCACTTGTCGCTAGAATTGAACATTGTATGGATGAATAAAAATTATGATAAACTTTCTTTTCAGTACAAAAATCTATGTTGCCCCACCAGTTAAGCAATTTGGCCCGCCAGGAAAAGTCCTATGTTTAAAAAGACATTGATAAAAAATAAAGATTGCTTTGGTTCAGGATAATGTATTAGAATTTTTATATTTTGTAAGTACATTATTTTGCATATTAGTTAAAATCAGGCAACTGTCAAAAATTTTCCAGGCATTCTCTTTTTCATTGCATGTGTACTCCACCTATCTTAGTGCCAAGCCAAATATTCCTTGGAAGACCTTGCATGGTTATTAGTTAGCTGTGTTGAAACTACCGACCGAAGTCTGGACCACGCATGGCACTGCGTCGGCAACTGAGAAATTCAAGGCAAGGCATCGCGTTTAAGCTGAAAAACCTAAAATATAGGCTCGGTATTGTGTTAAAATTATGCTGCATTTCAAAATTATTATATCGTTTATATTGTAGTCTACAATTCCTATTCAAATTAAGGTGACGCATAAATGTAAACATTACGACATTTAGGTTTTTTGTTGGGTGTCAAAAAATAAACAGTACACTGTTCAAATTATTGCAATCATAATTATATAATATATGTGTATTTATAATGTATTATGTGCATGATATTAATATATAACATGGATAAATGAATTGGACTCCCCTGTCGGGTGCGTAGGAGGTTCATAGCCTATTGAGTTTATATCAGTGATGAAGGTCCTGTTTTTTGTCTCCCACTCATGCAAGTTCCGTAATATAGGAAGCTTGCCTTTAGATTAACGAGTATAAGGTTTCTCATTTCACAGTTTCGAAACTTGCCGTTTTAGATCTTATTAATGCGGTTTTTTCACTCCAAAAGCCAGGCGACTCGCACAGTGGCGTAGCCAGCATCGATAATTGGGGGGGCCCATATTCATATATTCATGCATGTTAACAGACTGTAAAGACAATTGATTTGAAAAGAAATTAATCCTGCGTATCACGAATATATGAATATTGGCCCCCCCAATTATCGTTCTGGCTACGCCACTGGACTCGCATGTACCATGATGATAGATTCATTTAATCCCAATTCAATGTAATGAGAGGCATTCGTGAATTAAATTATGTCGTAGCTCCTATTACAAGAGTTCTATTACATGAGCACCTTTCTATTAAATTCAAACTATATAGATCTAGAAATACATCACTCATCTATATGCATGCAGAATAAGAAATTATAGCTATACAACACGGAGGTTTGGCCTAATTAAAGCCGGTTTCAACTTGCGATCATTATCGCGCGAATTGTCATTTTACTTTTGTTCCACAGTTGTCAAATTGCCCAAATCCAAAAGAATAAATTCGCTTCGAGCTAATAATATCACTATAGGAAAACCAGCTTACAGCCGGTTTTCCACTAGCGATATTTTTCGCGCGAAGCGACATTTTACTTTTGTTTCAAAGCTCTCAACTGCAACCATCTGGAACAAATTGCTCAAATACAAAGGAATAAAGTCGCCTCGCGCGAAAAATATCGCTAGTGGAAAACCGGCTTAAGTCGATAATGTTGTTGTTTTTAATCGCGCATGCATACAGTAAAGCTATAAACCATATGCATGACGAAGAGTAAAATATCAAATATTATTGAATATACATACCATTACATTGGTGGATAGCAAAAAGTGAACCCATGATCATAAGAAGAAAGCTCTGCATCTTGTGAAAGCTAATCAGGAAACGTTAAATGACTCGGCGGTATAACACTGGAAACGGTAGTTTTATTCAATCAACGAATATGGTTTAGTGATTTATCGCAATGATGTTTTAACCTACTTTATATACGTCAACAAAACTTTATAACTGCATGCATATAAGAAACGAAAGGCGACAAGAAATGCGACATGCATTCAATATAAAAATAGTAATAATAATTCGGTATTCGGGAGACAATTGCCTATACAATTAATGTCAATATTCTGGCTAATATATGCCATTGTCAGCAAAGCGGCAATATATCTGACTGGACCCATAGTCGAATTACGTATCTAGCTTACGCCTACAGTGAAATTAATTCATGCTTACAGTTAACTTAAAATTATCTCGAAATAAAGCACAAAATTCAGAAATGCTAATAGTAGACGATCATTTTATTATCAGCCATAGAGAGTTCATAGCCCCGTTTACACTACGCTCGATTTATCGGCACGGCACCGGACAAAATTTGGTACTCGTGCCCATTTCATCCGTGCCTGGCGAGACTACTCTTTAGTCCTCATTAGCGCGCCTTGAATTATTGTGACGCCACCGGTTTGAACGCGCGGGAGAGGACTGGCACAAAATGTTTTTAATTCTTTCATTCTAACCCTCCAGGACCCTGACTAAACGTAGGCAGTCTAATGATTTAGTCCCGCTTCAAGTTGTAAGAATTATTGATCTCTTAAAAGATTATTTTCAAAGAAAATTGACACGGTTTATTTGCCGAATTTCTGCTGTCTTCTTTAGGCTGGTGACGTGTGACTTCGGCCTCAATACTAAAAAGAAGTCGAAATGTCCAAATTGAAATAAAGCCAAGAGTTTTGCGCAGTTTAGAACGTGTATTGACCGGTATTGTACATAAACTTACCTTCCTAAAAAGCTGCATGGTTGAGCCGACTGGGCTCTCTCTTCTTTCTATACTGATTATTTTATTATTATTATTATTATTATTATTTGATGTTTAATAGAACTTTTTTGTGTTATAAGCACTAAATTTTCAAGTTATTTACAAGCCAAGGTTAAGAGGAGTCCTGATATAATATTCTTGTATGTTTGCATGGTGACAATCGATAAAATTAATAATTTAGCTTGAAGGTAGGCTACACCACGTAAGCATGTAATACTGCAAAGCTTTTGGTCCGTTAACCCTGGCCTTCATCATATTGCACTGATTTACACTCAAATATTGTAAGCGTTTCTTAGAGTGTAAGGCAAGCCAGCTGTTCTGCGCACCGATTCTGCTCATAGCAATATATATGAGTCCTCTTATATAAATTTTGCCCAAATTTGGAATTTTTCTCATCAAAAACTGTAGTTCATATTCATTTAATGGCACATTGCGAACCTAAACGTTGTTAGATATCCGATAACACAACGTAATATTTCTATAAGTATATAGAAGTGCTATAAATGTAAACTAAATTACATATGGACTTGAACTTCACTTTAAATATTTGTGCATAGAACCGCTCAGTGATGTAGCCAGCCTGACGATTTTGTCTCGCTATATAAATTTCGAGTTATTATAATTATTCATATCTTTAGAAATCTATTGTTTTCAAAGTCAGTGAACATTAAAATATTAGCATAGCGGGACAAATCGACAGGCTGGCTACGCTACTGGAACCGCTATCAACTGTGATAGAACAAATGTGATGTTATGAAAAATACAACAGAACGTTTATAATATTCTTGCAAGTTTGCATGCATGGTGACCTCAAATAAGTAAATTAGCTTGAATCAAGGCCCATGCGGGGTACGGACCGAAAGCTTTCCTGCATTAAATACTCACATGGTGTACCTTACCTACTTGCAAGCTAATTTACTTAACAAAACGTTTGCCAATAAATTTTGCATATGTTATATCATGTCTTGTTTGAAAGTGATTTGCTGGGCTAATTTTTCATTTTTAAATTACGCTTTGCGTCTGGTGTTTTAATCGAAGCTGATTAACACAAATTTTAACACAATTATAGTTGCCACCTTAGATTAGTAGTTCGGTTAGGAAAACGTTGCAAAACAACTTTTCTATTATTGGGGAAAGAGGTAGGCAAATGCAAGTTATATTCTGAGGTCGCTCTATACCGATCAGTGCCCAAAATTTGCAACAAGCGCGTCTTTGTAATTGTACTGGTGTTAAGCTACGTCAGCTGTGTACTAGTTAACCAATGATTCATAGTTGCTCTCTGCATCTCGTACAGTTTTCAACGCCATATACTCTGAATTTTCCTCATCTGCTTCTCTCGATGTCGTTAGTTCGGCGTAAGTTGAATCATCTTCGTTTTCTGCTTCCTCTTCGGCAACGAGATTTTCATGTGCATTAATATTCGTGGGAACTGTATCTTGTGGTGTGGTTGTATTTATATCGGTGGCGTATGGTTGGCACCTTTTCCTCTGCAAACACTTCCAACAACATATAGCAAGGAGAATCCCAATGATAGCTGCGCATACCAGTGTGACGATGGGCCCAATGATTATTGCACTTTCTATATAACATTTTTATAAAACATATTTTAATATCATGTGGATGATCCATCTCAAAAAACAACAACAATAAACAGTAGTGCAGTATTATTTCTCATTATCAGAAATTATTCATAATAGGGTTCTTTTAGAATAAAAACTTTTTTTAAATTACAACGAAACATAGTACATGGTATGCTCAACCTGGAGTTGTGTAAAAAGTAAATGATAAACATTTAACTTCGCAACAACGTTTATTATAAAGGCTTTTTGCAGAAGAAGCTCTTAGAACGAACTTGTCAGTTATAAAAGATAACGATTTACCAATAACTTTGTTCAATACGGAAATACTTGAAATGCCCATTATAAATTGGGGGGGGGGGGCGGTTATCCCCCAAAGAATTTTCACACAGACAAGTAAAAAACTTCGAATATTGAACATTTAATAAGAACTTCACTAGCAATGCATTTACCTTGTGCTACTGCTCCATTGCTAGGACTTGTTTGCCCAGAATTTTTGTTTTCCGGAGAATCAGTTTGTGTACGATTTACGCCTGGATATTGTGACAGAACAATGCCTTCAATAAAAAAGCGACTATGAGTTTATTATGTTTCTTTATATATATACCTACCACGCCCGTTTTCTTTTGCTTTTGAAAGTCTTTGGGAGCTTGTCAGTGAGAGAATTGACGTAGGGTCAAACATGGGGTCGAACATGCCCGGGAGATAAGGCTATCATTGACAAATGCAATAGAATTTTAAAAGGGTAAAACATGCAAGAGTTGTGATTTGCAGCATTCGAAATACTGTGATGATGTTTCTGAAACATATGCAGGAACTTTTAAAGACCTACACTGGAAGGTTACTCATGCGTCCGAGAATAAAGCAACGATGCAGGTTGAAAGTCGTGCAGATTTTGCAATTCGTTTAACTGAGGTTTTGCACTCTTTTGATATTGTTCGGAAGCTTTTGATGTTTTTCGGAAGCTTTTAAAATATTTGTTGAGTTCGTTCACGCGCACATGAGGATCTCCAGGTTTTAGGTGCAGAAAGAACGAGAAGAAATTTATGTATGGAGTATGTATGATGTTTGTGTACAGAACTCTATAGTTTATTCCATGAATCACATATTTACACAAAAACGTTGTACCTGTATAGCGCGTATAGTGCAGCCCTTACACCACACACCTAAGCTGATGCAAACATATTGTGTAAACCATGCATGGTTATATCCGTATACACTACAGACCGAGGTCTGGCCTAGGCTGCATTTTGCTGCATTTCAAAATTATTTTTAAAGTCGGTCGTTTACAAATTACAATTCCTTTGGCCCTCTTGTGCATGGTAAAGAGCAGGACATGTCTGGCATAAATTGCTTTGCTCGACGACAGACTTGTAATTCTATGATATTGTATATAAACAAGATACCACAATTTTATACATTTTCTATATTTATCTCATAATTCCAAGCTTTTCCAGTCACGATACCCGCTTTGCTTCCCGGCGGAGGTGAGAACGTCGGCGTGAAATAGCGTGACGTCCATAGACAGATATGCTGCAAAATTTAGGAATTTTCTTGTTGCGTGGCAAATAACGAGGAGCATTCATATGGTATAAGTTCGGACTTCCCTGTCGGGCGCGTGGGAGGCTCATGGCATGTTTGTGTATGTGTATGAAACCAAGGTCTCGTTCTTTGTCACCCGCTTATTGTAAGTTCCGTAATACAATAGGAAGCTTTAGGTTAATGAGTAGGAGATATTTTTCACCTCTTTCGAAAGCAAGGCGAGTCGCATGCACGTTGCCTCATTAGCAATCACTGTTTTTCGTGAGAGGCGTGTCAGTGACATTCATGAATTAAAACATATCGTGACTTTAACTGGAAGAGTTTTAAAATAACTAGAAATACTTCAAAGTGGAATATTTTCATAATTTTGATTCACGCTCTACATGCATGCAGAATGAGAAACTGTACCATGTCGAAGTGTGTCCTATAATTATATAATTAGTCGTCGCTGTTAAGTTTTTAATCACGCAGTGAAGGGTAACCAACATTTGGAGAATTGCGTAATTGCTCTGCTAATCCTGTAGCCAGATATGGAGCGGATCCAAGACGACATAGCTAAAGGTAAAAATGAATTGAAACATACCTTTGCCTCCGTGGAAGGCGAAAAGCGGACCCATTATAAAAAGGAAGCTCTGCATCATGTGAAAGCTAGTCTTGAACGACGTTAAAAATCCAGTTACAGTCGAACCGGCAGTTTATATGATATATAAAATTTAGTTTAAATATTCTGTTTTACCCACAGTGCAGTCATTTATCGCAACCTCCTTCCTACATACATTAGAGCGCCAACGCATTATAAAGGAATGGACATGAGCAACATGCAATATAAGAATAGCAATAACAATGCGTCAAGTATTCAGGAGACACTGTCATTACAATGTCAATATTCTGGCTAATATATATTATTGTAAAGTTTAAAATATCAGCAAGGCGGCATCTTAAATATTTTCCGAGACCCATTGAAATTTGGCTTACGCCTTGTGCATG